CCAGAAGTGGCGACAGTTACAGGAATTGGATGACCCGCTCGGATTAATAACATGATCCGCGGGCCCCGTAGGGAAGGGGCTCCCGCTTGAGACTTCCTCGCAATTCACCCACAAATGTGGCCTGGGAATGGCGTTCTGGCAGCGCGAGACCCCAAAAGTGACGACAGTTACAAGAATTGGATGACCCGCTCGGATTAGTAACATGATCCGCCGGCCCCATAGGGAGGGGGCTCCCGCCTGAGACTTCCTCGTAATTCACTCACAGACGAGGCCCAAGGCGAGTGAGTGAGTGAGTGAGTGACTGACTGACTGACTGACTGACTGGTGATGATGATCATCATCATCACACTCTCTCACGCGCACACTCATCATCATCATCATCATCATCATCATCATCATCATCATCATCATCATCATCATCATCATCATCATCAGCAGCATCATCATTATCATCATATGTGAGTGCTGATGAGTCAGTAAGTGAGTGAGTGAGCGAGTGAGTGAGTGAATGAGTGAGTGTGTGAGGGATGATGAGTGAGAGAGTGAGGAATGAGTGATGATGATGGTGGGTTCCTGCTCCTGCGCGGGGTGTCCAGAGAAAACAAGAACCCCACTTTGGATGTGGGGAATTGTACACGTGTATATATGTATATATATATACATACATACATATATATGCATATATGTAATCCGGGCGAAGAATTTGCAATTGTGAGTAACGTCGTTGCGGGCATCGCCTTCGGAGGATCTTCTCACGCGGCCATGAAACATGCGGAGTGTGTGCCGATGTGGGGCGGGGCCGCCACGGGGCCGCGAAAAGTGTGAGGAGTGCGCCGCAGAGGGGCGGGGCCGCCACTGGGGCCTTCGGCGAACTCCCTACTGGGCAACGAAACAGTGTAATGGGTGGGGAAACGCATGCCAGTACAGCCACCAGGGCCTTCGGTGCAGCTCGCCATGAGGCCACGAAGCGCTGTGCTGGGTGGGGGGAGCGCATGCGAACACCGCCATTTGGGCCTTCGTTGGGCTCCTGTGGGGCCACGAAACGCTGCACTGGGCGGGGGCGACACATGCATGTGCATCCACTGGGGCCTCCCGTTGAATTCCCTGTGGGGCCACGAAGCGCTGTTCTCGGTGGGAGTGACGCATGCGGGCGGTGCCACTGGGGCCTTCGGTGGAGCTTCCTATGGGGCCACGAAGCGCTGTTCTGTGTGGGGGTGACGCATGCGGGCGGTGTCACTGGGGCCTTCGATCGAGCCCCCTATGGGGCCACGAATCGCTGTGCTGGATGGGGTGTGACACATGTGGGCGGTGCAACTGAGGATTTCGGTGGAGTTACCTATGGAACCACGAAACGCTGTACTGGGTGTGGGTGACGCATGCGGGCGGTATCACTGTGGCCTTCGGCGGAGCTCCCTATAGGGCCACGAAACGCTGTACTGGGTGGGGGATGACGCATGCGGGCGGTAGCACAGGGGCCTTCGGTGGAGCTCCCTGTGGGGCCACGAAACGCTGTACTGGGTGGGGGATGACGCACGCGGCCGGTAGCACAGGGGCCTTCGGTGGAGCTCTCTATGGGGCCACGAAACGCTGTACCGGGTGGGGTTGCTGTACTGGGTGGGGGTGATGCATCCGGGCGGTGCCACTGAGGACTTCGGTGGGGCTGCTCCCTATGGGGCTGCTCCCTATGGAGCCACGAAGCGCTGTACTGGGTGGGGGTGGCGCATGTGGGCGGTGCCACAGGGGCCCTCGGTGGAGCTCCTTATGGAGTCACGAATCGCCGTACTGGGTGGAGGTAACGCATGCGGGCGATGCCACTAGGGCCCTCGGCGGAGCTCCCTCTGGGGCCACGAAATGCTGGACTCGGAGGGGGTGACGCATGCGGGCGGTGCCACAGGGGCCTTCGGTGGAGCCCCCTGTAGGGCCACGAAGCGCTGTACTGGGAGGGGGATGACGAATGCGGGCGGTAGCACTGTGGCCTTCGGTGCTCCCTATGGGGCCACGAAACGCTGTACTGGGAGGGGGATGACGCATGCGGGCGGTAGCACAGGGGCCTTCGGTGGAGCTCCATATGGGCCACGAAACGCGTGAGGGGTGTGCCGAAACGCTGTAATTACTGGGTGGGGGTGACGCATGCGGGCGGTGCCACCGGGGCCCTCGGTGGAACTCCCTGTGGGGCCACGAAACGCTGTACTGGGTGGGGGTGACGCATGCGGGCGGTGCCACTGTGGCCTTCGGTGGAGCTCCCCATGGGCCACGACATGCTGTGCTGGGTGGTGGATGACGCATGCGGGCGGTTCCACTGGACTCTTCGGTGGAACTCCTTCTGGGGCCACGACATGAAGGAGGAGGAGGAGGAGGAGGAGGAGGAGGAGGAGGGGGAGGAGGGGGAGACGGAAGGAAGGAAGGAAGGAAGAAACGCGGGGCGCTGTCTCTTCAAAACGAGAACCCAACACCACAGGATGGTTGGGGAAAAAACGGGAGGGGGGGGGAACAAAAAAAAAACGCCGGAGAGCTTGCAGAAAAGCGCCGCCGGCCCGACGGACCGGCCCCACGAGGGCTCAGCGCGGGCGGGCCAGGGCCCGGGAAGAGACCACGACAGAGCACTGGGCGGACTTCAGCTCCTCCGGAGTCGGCCACCTACCAGACCACCCCAACCCAACCCGAAGGCCCGAACTTCGGGTTGGGGGGGTTCTGGGTTAAGTCGTTCGGGTTGGGTCGGGGTGAGTTGGTGGGTGGTGAGGAATGGAGGCGGAGGGAGCTGGAGTCGGAAAAGTCGGGCGGCTAGCGAGGGGGGAAATGAGAAGGAGAAGGCCCTCGCAGAAGGCGGCGGGACTTCTCAGAAGCCCTCGCGCCCTCCGGGAAGTTCCCAGTGTCCTCGGGGGAGACTTGGAAGACTTCTCCGGGGGCGTGGGGACTTCCGAGCCTCCAGAGAAGGCCCGCCCCTGGCCATCGCTCGGACGTCCATTCCCTGTGCTTTTCTCGGTTTCGTGTGTGGGTTTTTCGCCAAATTATCGAGGATGCTCCTCGATGGTCCTCGCCGAAGGAAACATGCACACGTCCGAGCGATGCCAAGGCCCCTTCTCACTTCCCCCCTCGCTCGCCGCCGAAAAATACAACGGTGACCAGTGCCGGAAGGGAGTCGGAGTCGGACATGGCCGTGCCGAAGCCGGAGCCCGTCCCTGGAAGAGAGCGGTCGAGGCACGACCTGGAGTCGGAGGCCGGGGCCGAATGCCGAGGAGCTGGGGTCTGAACTGGTTGGTACCCCGGACGATCGGTCAGGAGCGGGGGATGAGGCCATATCTGAAGGGGCCCCAGGACACACAAATAAATACACACAAATAAAGGTATCCCCCACATTTTCTCATACTTTCTGGGTTCCTGTCTTCCCCCCCACCTTCCCATATCTTCGCATAATTTCTGGGAATCGACGATGAATTGTGTCTGTGTTTTTGTCCCTCCCGGAAATTGGTCCCCAGACCCCTCCCGGGGTCCAATTTTGGAGCGGTCGTTCACCCCAGCTCTCTGTTTCACGGCCCCGGGGCCCGGAAGACGGCCCCCGGAGGCCGAGAAGAGCAGAAGACCTTCCCGAACCCAAAACCTCGAACCTCGCCCGCCCTTCACCAAAGGGAAATTAGGACACACAAATAAATACACACAAATAAAAAGAGTCCCCATATTTTCCCATATTTTCTGGGGTTTTGTCTCCCCCCCCACTTCCCATATTTTCCCATATTTTCTGGGGATCGACGATTAATTGTGTCTGTGTGTTTCTTCCCTCCTGATTCATGCTGGCCAGAGCCAGCGCTGGGCCACCTCAGACCCACCTTGGCATCCACTTGTAACACTGAAGGGGAACTGGAACACACAAATAAATACACACAAATAAAAATAGTCCCCATATTTTCCCATATTTTCTGGGGTTTTGTCTTCCCCCCCAATTCCCATATTTTTCCATATTTTCCTGGGAATCGAGGATTAATTGTGTCTGTGTGTTTTTTTCCCTCCTGATTCATGCTGGCCAGAGCCAGCGCTGGGCCACCTCAGACCCACCTTGGCATCCACTTGCAACACCCCTATCCACTTGTAACACCCCTATCCCCTCAGCAACCCCAGCGGTGATCGCAGTGGGGGCCTATTGAACAGAATACGTCACCAGAGATCCTAGGAAGCCCAAAGAGAACGTACGCGCAAAACCACGTACATGAACACAGCCCCCCAATACGCGAGACCGGCCGCGTGATACGAACGTTCGCGCCATACGTACTTTCGAAACCAACGTGGATTCATGTACGCGTACGTCCCTCTTTCGCTCATGAGATCCGAGGGATGACTACCTACCAGACCACCCCAACCCAACGCGAAGACCCAAATTTCGGATTGGGGGGGTACGGGTTCCACATGTGTCTTTTCCATGTTTCACGACGTCCCCCCCCATTGGGAATGGAGTGCAAAGTGGGGCATTCGATTTGGGTTGGGGTGGTCTGGTGGGTGGTCGATGGAGATGCAATTGCCAAGCTCGAGCCGCATCGAATCGCAAACCCGGCTCGGATCGGGAACGGATCGGACCTCCAGCGAATCGCCCCGAATCGGGACGAAATCGGATCGCCGAGCCCTGCTCTCGCTGGCCCCGGCCGATAGCGTCGAATCGACCCAGACATGCGACGTCCTGATTTTTTCAGGACGGCGTCCCTGGAAGCCCCGACGCTTCCCCCGGGGCCGGTTCTTCGTCCTGCGTCGTTTTTTGACGCTCCCGGGGGCCGGCGAGGGCCCCCAGGGGTCGAACATAGCCGAAAACCTCCCGTCCTCATTCCCGGTTGACGACGCGAGCATGTCCGGGGAACCTGGTCGAGTCGAATCGGCATCGCGCACCCGGCCGGCCAGTCGACTCGCACGGAACATCGGCTCGCGGGCGGCCGCGCTCCTGCCCAGCCGGCGCCCCAGCGGACCACCTCCAACGACGCCGGCGCGGCCGGCCGCGCGCGCGCGCCCGAGGCCCCGGCACGAGCTGAGGGGCCCTGCCGCGGACACCGGGGGGTCCTCGCCCTTCTGGCCGGCCACGCCCTCCGCGCCGGCCTCGAGGCGGGAGTGGCCGAGGGGGGGGAGGAGGTAGGCCTCCTCCTCCTCCTCCTCCTTTCTCTCCTCCTCCTCCTCCTCCTCCTCCTTACTCCTCCTGTCCTGCTCCTCTCCTCCTCCTCCTTCTCCTCCCCCCTCCCTCCTCCCTTCCTCCCTCTTCCTCCTCCTCCTCCTCACCTCTCCTCTCCTCCTCCTCCTCCTCTCCTCCTCTACTCCTCTCTCCTCTTCTCCTTCCTCCTCCTCATCCATCATCCATCATCATCATCATCATCATCATCATCATCAATCATCATCATCAATCATCATCATCATCATCATCATCATCATCATCATCATCATCATCAATCATCATAATCATCATCATCTCATCATCATCATATCATCATGATCATCATCATCATCATCATCATCATCATCATATCATCATCTTCATCATGAATCATCATCATCATCATCATCATCATCATCATCATCATATCATCATCATCATCATATCATCATCATCATCATCATCATCATCATCATCATCATCATCATCATCATCATCATCCATCATCATCTCATCATCATGATCTCATCAGCATCATCATTCATCAGCCATCAGCATCATCATAATAAGCAGCAGCATCATCATCCATCATCATCATCATCATCACACCATCATCCCATCACCATCACCATCACCTCATCATCAGCACCATCATCACCATCATCCCATCACCATCATCATCACACATCAACATCATATCATCATCATCATCATCATCATCATCATCATCCCCCTCCTCCTCCCCTCCCCTCCTCCTCTCCCTCCTCCTCCCTCCCTCCTCCTCCTTCCCTCCTCCTCCTCCTCCTCCACCTCCTCCTCCTCCATCCTCCTCGCCCTCCTTCACACCATCATCGTCGGGCTCTTCCACCTCTCCCTCTTCGCCCTCGTCCTCCACAGCAGACCATCAGCATCACCCTTCTCATCATCAACATCAACATCACATCCGATGCCATCGTCACCACCACCACCTCTATGTGCATTCTTGTCTCTTCATCAAGATAGTCACAACCACCACTACCAAAATCGTCACCAACAACTTCATCATTATGTTCAACATTACAGATTAGCACCATCAGCATCAACAGCATCATCATCGTCATCATCAGCAGCATCATCATCATCATCATCATCATCATCATCATCATCATCATCATCATCATCATCATCATCATCATCATCATTCGGGTCGCCGGTGATGGGGGGTCACGCAATGGGAGGTCTGCGCACGTATCCCAAACGGAGCAATCGGAAACGGAGGCCCTGCTCGCGATGTGTGCGACGCTTGGTATGTCCGCAGGATGTCTGACGGTGGCTCTCCCAAGCTCGAGGCGCAACTGCTAATCTCGCCAGAGAATTGCGGTCTGAGCACCGCACGAACGCCACCTGGTCAGACATTTGGATGCGCGAAACTGGCTGGCGGCCAAAAGTTGCAATGCATGAAAGTGTCCCTGAAGTGCCCCTAAACTGCCCCAATGGGTCAAAAAGTGGCTCGAAAGTGCCCTTAAAGGGGCCCAATGCTGCATTGCACGACATGAGGAAACCCGAAAAAGAGCATCCACTTTTTGCTGCGCGCAGCGGCCGCGCGCGCGGCCCTCGTGCCGCCTCGTGACATCTCGGGTTGGGGCCGGTCCGAGAAGGGCTCTCTGTGGACCACCATAGAACTCACCGCAGCGTTCACACGCAGAGAAAGGCGGGCCGAATGGCGGCACCGAGGATTCACGAAAAGGTGCAGATCAACAAAAGGCCCCTTAAGTGTACAAAAAGGGTGCTTTCTTGACCCCAATTTGCGTGACCCCCCGTCACGGGCGACCCGAATCATCATCATCATCATCATCATCATCATCATCATCATCATCATCATCACCACCACCACCACCACCACCACCACCACCATCATCATCATCATCACCACCACCACCACCATCATCATCATCATCATCATCATCATCATCATCATCATCATCATCATCATCATCTACATCTACAACTACATCTACATCTACATCTACATCTACATCTACATCTACATCTACATCTACATCATCATCATCATCATCATCATCATCATCATCATCATCATCATTGTCATCATCACCAGCATCAACATTAGCATCATCATCATCAGCATCATTGTCATCATCCCCAGCATCAGCATTAGCATAATCAGCATCATCATCGTCACCAGCATCCTCATCCTTCTCATCATCATCATCACCACCACCACCATCATCATACTTATCATCATCAGCAGCCTCATCCTCATCCTAATCATCATCACCATCATCATCATCCTGATCATTGCCACCATCACCACCACCATCGTCATCATTATCATCATCATCATCACCATCATCATCATCATCATCCTCATCATCCTCATCACCATCATCATGATCATCATCATCATCATCATCATCATCATCATCATCATCATCATAAGCATCATCGTTATCGTCATCATCCATCCTCATCCTCATCCTCATCATCACCATCATCATCATCAGCATCATCAGCAGCATCATAATCATCACCATCATCATATTTGTCGTCATCATCATCATCCTGGACGTGAACGTCATCGTCCCCATCATCATCATCATCATCACCATCATCATCCTCATCATCATCATCTCATCATTCGGGTCGCCGGTGATGGGGGGTCACGCAAACATCCTTGGACGTACGTAAACGTCCTCATCCTCCTGCGCATCATCGTCATCATCAGAATAATCATAATTAAGAAAATCACCATCATCATGATCATCATCATGATCATCATGATCATCATCATCATCATCATCATCATCATCATCATCATCGTCATCGTCATCGTCATCGTCATCCTCATCATCCTCATCATCATCAGAATCACCATAACCTTTCATCATCGTCATCATCATCAGCATCATCATCACCACCACCAAAACAATAATCATCATCATCAGCAGCAGCATCACAATCACCACCACCACCATCGTCAGCATCATCCTCATCAGCAGCGTCATCATCACCACCAACACCATCATCATCACCGTCAGCAGCATCATCATGAGCATCATCAGCATCATAATATTGTTCGCCATCATCATCATCACCAGTATCAGCATCCGCACCAGCATCATTATCACCATGATCAGCATCATCACAATCATCGTCATCATCATCATTATGATCAGAATCATCATCCTCATCACCATCCTCATCATAGTCCTTCTCCTCCTCATCATCCTCCTGATCCCCATCATCATCTTTCATCACCATAGGAAGTAGCAGTAAACACAAGTAAGCATATGTACACATGTTGGCTCTGGAGGTACTGTAAGCTTTAGGCCGGTGCTAGAGCTAGGAGACTGGCGCACCTTCAGACGGGGCGACCTGCATCGAGAAAATGTGGAACAAGACTGCTGTCTACAGCATCTTCTGCAGAGAAGGAGGAGTAGGAGGAGGGGGAGGAGGAGCAGGGGAGGAGGAGGAGCAGGAGGAGGAGAGGAGGAGAGGGCAGGGGAGGGGAGGGGAGGAGAGTAGGAGGAGAAGAGAAGGCAGAGCGAGGGATGGGAAGGGAGGAGCCCTCTCCGCTCCACCGCCCCTGACCCGTTCCCTGGGGCGCTTTTCGGGCCGGCGGGTCCTGGCCCCTCTCGGCCGCCTTCGGCTTGCCGTCTACCTTCGGGCGGCGGAGAGCGAGGCACGCACAGAGCGGGCGTTCGCCGGCGGGGGGGGGGAAGTGGCGCACCGAGGGAGGAGCAGTCCCTCCTCCTCCTCCTCCTCCTCCTCCTCCTCCTCCTCCTCCTCCTCCTCTTCTTGATATTATGATTATTAGTATTATGAATTGTTCTTCTTAGTATTCTGAATATCATTACTCACTGTATAATTAATAATATGCTCACTCTTCTTATTAATATCATTAGTATTACTCTTCTCGATCAGTATTAGTATTATTATTCCTATTCGTATTATTATTCGTACTACTATTAGTATTATTACTACTGGTTATGTGCTATTCGTATTCGTCTTCTTATTAGTATTATCATTATTGCTACTCCTATTAGTATCCTCCGTAGTAGTAGGCTTGTTTGTAGTACTCGCACTCTGAATAGTATCGTTAATAGTCATATGTTTTCTTACTGGTCTTACTATTAGTATGCAACGTATTACAATTGTTATTATGCTTAGTATTACGATTGCTAGTAGCTAAGGTATTACTATGCTTCTTGTCATCTTCATAAGTATTAGTCTTAATAGTAGCGTCAGTATTATTATTAGTTGTACTAGTATTCATACTGTTATTAGTATGATTCGTCGTAGTAGCATTGCTATACTTGATACGAGGACGTTCGTATTACTTATAGGATTGGTGAGTTTAGTGTTGTTAGTTGTATTAGTAGTATGATTCGTCTTCTCAGTATTACTATCAGTACGATAATTCTCAATCGTTTTAGTAATACAAGCACTCTTATTACTCGTAATATTATGAGTATCATCATTATTATTAGTACTATGATGCTACTATTATCAGTGCGATTGTTATACGTGGTATTCTTAGTTGTTTTATCGAATTCTTCTTAGTAGTATTAGTATTGTTCGTTATCCTCTTCTTCTTTTCCTCCTCCTCCTCCTCTTCCTGGTCCTCCTTCTCCTCCGCCGCCGAATCCGCCTCCTAGGAATCTTTCGGCCACCTAGGAAGCCCGAATGGTACCATCATCACCGAGATTGGGATCATCTTCCCTCGGTGGAGGCACACCGCCGATATTGCTGTTGGTGTCAACCTCTAGCCCCCCGCCCTCCCCCTCCCCCAGCGGCGACGGGCAAGGCAGAGCAGGCGCCGCCTTCTTGCGCCTGGCGGCACCAGCCGGCAGAGGCCTCGCGCGCGGCAGCGGCCGCCCCTTTCCACGGCACTCCTGCTCCTGCTCTTTCTTCCTGGGCCTCCTCGTCCGGCTCCTCCTCCTCCTCCTCCTCCTCCTCGTCCTGCTCCTCCTCCTCCTCCTCGTCCTGCTCCTCCTCCTCCTCCTCCTCCTCTTCCTCCTCCTCCTCCTCCCCCTCCTCCTCCTCGTGGGTCGAGGCGCGAGACAGGGCGCGAGGGCCTCAGCCCCTCGGGGAGCAGCCCCATCTCCATGGCCGTCCAGGCCTCGCCCAGCGCCTGGCTCGCCGCGCGCGGCACCGGGCCCGCTCCTGGACGACGCCGCCGCCGCCGACGCTGCCGAGGGGAGGCGGCTTGAGGAGGAGGAGGAGGAGGAGGAGGAGGAGGAGGAGGAGGCGGAGGAGGCGGAGGAGGAGGACTGAAGAGGCTCGAGGAGGATCGAGGAGGGCCGAGGAGTGCGAGGGCGACCGAGGAGGAGCGAGGAGGTCCGAGGCGTGCCCAGGAGGAGGCAGCACCAGGAGGAGGCCCGAGGAGGAGGAGCAGGAGGAGGAGGAGGAGGAGCAGGAGGAGGAGGAGGAGGAGGAGGAGGAGGAGGAGGGGAAAGGGCCGAGGACCGAGGCCGTCGCCGAGGCCGTCGCCGCGCATCCGGCCGCCCCGTGGGGCCTGCTGCAGCCTGAGCTCCTGCAGGTCCCCCAGCACGCAGTGCAGGTTGCGCTCCCGCTCGTACGGGTCCTCGCGGCGTCGGAGCCAGGGGCGGGGTCAACAGGAGGAGGGAGGGGGGGGGGAAGGTGGAAGGGGGAGATGGGTGGCGACATCCGAAGCCTGCCCCCACCTCCCATCGATTATTCCCGAATCGATGGTAGGCGAGGGTAGGGTTCGGATTGCGCCACGCGCTCGACGAATTGCAAACCCTACCGTCGCCGCCAATCGCCTTGCCTGAATCCTTGATCGACGAGGGTAGGGTTCGGACTTAGCCGCCCACGGAGAGGAGCGGGAGAGGCGGGAGGCAAGGAGCATTAGAAGAAAAACAAGAGGGAACACCGGCAGCCGAGATCGTGGCATGCATGGGACAGCATCGCTTGCTGATAACCGGGATTCACTCAACAGCTCTGGGGGCTGTTGTACCATAGCTTCTGATCCTGCTGTTTCCCAGACCCGCGAGAACATGATCGTTGTCTGCAACCGCGTTACTTATCTCCCCCATCCTCGCATCTTCCCTCCTCGTTCCCCTCCTCCTCCTCATCCTCCTTCTCCTCATCCTCTTCCTCCTCATCCTCCTCCTTCTCCTCCTCCTCCTCCTCCTCCTCCTCCTCCTCCTCCTCCTCCCTACTACTACTACTACTACTACTACTACTACTACTACTACTACTACTACTACTACTACTGCAACTGCTACTGCTACTGCTACTGCTACTGCTGCTACTGCTACTGCTACTGCTACTGCTACTACTA